GCGAATCTGCTCATGCACCATGCTTCTGATGTGAATGAGTCAGCAGCACAGCTGCAGATGGAGTGGGCAGAAGGACATCTAAATTTAGTCATTATTCACTTGAGAAGGTTTTCAGGGACCATTCGTCTCTCATCCATGCTTTAGTCATAGTCCTTCTTCTGATTTCCAAAAAAGAAGAGAGGGAGGGAGGGAGAAATAGTCATTCCAAGGTATTTCATGTGAGTAAATACCTTCTAATTCTCTTGATTGGTATTACAAGAGGGATTCTCTTCCAATTTAACCATGGTGCATACTCTTTCATTCAGGTATTTCCTGAATTTAGGAACTCACAGGACTTTGAACATCAGAGAGGGAGTTTTCTGAAGTTAGACTTACGAACAAGCTCCCAAGTCTTGCTAATTCAAAGACATTTTTAATTAAACCACTTTTCTCCCATAAGCTAATGGAGGTTGGGGAGGGCTTTGACCAGTGAGGAGTAAATACATCTTGTGTGTGGTTTCTTCCTGGGGAAGTTGCTATTTTGTAATACTGTTGGCTCAGAAACACCTGTTTTTCCAAAGACCTGTCTTCTTTAATGTGAGGTGGGTGGTCTTCCCAACACCATTGATAAGTATGCTGGTATTTTGTTAAATACTACACGCAAGGTTATATGTATTGGCAGAGCCAGCACACAAACTCCATCTTCTGATCCCACAGCTGGTGCTTTTTACAGTATACAGTCGTCTTTGTGGAGAATTATTTGAGCAGTTCAATTATTTTATTGTCTCTAAATTAATTCCTTTGAGACTGATGGTATCAGATTAGGCCAGTTTTTTATTGCTGTTCTCTCAAACTTCCTTGCAGTGTTATTCCTATAAAAATGCTGTATCAGGGATTTGAAATTTATAGACAACAATGTCACAAAATTGAAAAAGAGAACTGAAGTAGTGATGGAATGAAAGAGATTAAAAAACAGAAAGAGGGGCTGGGGCTGTGGCTCAGCGGTAGAGTGCTCGCCTCACACATGCAAGACCCTGGGTTTGAGCCTCAGCACCACATAATAAATAAGTGAAATAAAGGTATTGTTTCCAACTACAACTAAAAAATAAATATTAAAAAAAAAACAAACAGAAAGAATATGTTAAGAGGGAAGGAAAGAGAAAAGGCAGATTTTTCCCATTCTCTAGTTTTAGGGTTTATTTCAGGCCTTCTGGAATAGGCTGCTAACATCTTCAAAATACAAAGAATGACCTTGGAAACATTGGCTTCCAAAAGTCTAACTGGTGGTAGTGTGGCCACCAGAGCTGTTTTTAGATTTCTTTCAGAGCCAAAGACATTTACGACCAAGTAAAAGTAACTGACCTAACTGTCCTGGGCCATACAAATGAAGATTGCACATTTGGTCACTTTGATGGAGGTGTTATTATTAAGGTCAATATTTAGCACAGTTCCTAAAATACTGTCTTCTCCTTTTACTTTAGTGCCCTTTTGAAAAGTGCTCTGCTGTAATTTGAGTGTGCGCCCCCAAAGTTCATATATTGAATCTTAATTCTTCAATGCAGCAGTTTTGGAGGTGGGGTAGAGGAAGAATTTTGGGTCCCAAGCGGGGTAGGGCTCTTATAAATGGTCTAATGCCTTTCCCATGGGAAGGGATTAGGAATCTGGTCCCTGTTTCTCTCTAACATTCCCACTTGTCCTTCTACTTCTCACTATGAGTTAAAGTAGAACAAGATTCTCACCAGATGCCGACACCCAGTCTTCAGCTTCTCAGCCTTCGGAACAATAAGCCTAAATAAAACTCCTTCCTTTATAAATTTCCCAGGCTTTTTTTTTTTTTTTAGCAACAGAAGATGGGTTAAGGCATGCCCACTTCCATTTTTTCACTTAAAGGCTTTTATTTAGGTTTTAGTGAGTTACTCTGAAATGAGTTGACTAGACCTTGCCATATGGAATTGCAGACTCAGACATACAACATGTGACCAATGTAATGAGAAGCATAATTACAAAATAGTTAATGCCTTATAGAAGTAAAGGAAGAGTAAGGAGGGAATTGAAGTTGATAAACCTTGAAAGCCTTATAGAAGAAATTAATTTTTATAGCTGCTTTTTGAAAAAGAGACAGTAAAGAACACTGGCTATGAGTCATCTGACCTCAAAAGGTCAAGTTGGAGGAATATATTATATTGCATCAAATCAAATTTAGCTTGATATGTTTAGCTAATATCAGTAATTGTTAGAAGATTATCATATGGTCTGGGAAAAATTAACAAAGATGCTCTTTGTGACCAGAGTTAGTTAATTAAATTTTCACTTAATTTGGATCAAGCTTTTTCAGCCATGCCCCTCTTTTATCTCTGGAAGGAATTCCCATAAACGCCCTTGGTGTGATGGTATTACTTAGGTCCTGTAGTTACAGGGGTTCTCTGGTGTCCCTTGGAACAATAATCTTTTGCTGTTTTAAACAGTTGCTCATCATCACTATAAAATATCCTTGGTATAGTGGTTCTCAAACTGTTTGATCTCCAGTTTCTTTTATAGTTAAAAATTTATAAATAAACCCCCCGAAAATTTATTCAGAAATGTGTCCCTATTGGTTATTATATTTTTTGAGAAATTAAAAAATATATACTTTTTAATACATTAAGATACAACAGCCTGCTGGGTGTTGTGGCACATGCCTGTAATCTCAGTGATCTGGGAGGCTGAGTCAGGAGAATCGAAGTTCAAAGCCAGCCTCAGCAACTTAGCGAGGCCCTAAGCAACTTAAGCAAGACCATGTCTCAAAATAAAAAATACAAAGAGGGGTGGGGATATGACCCAGTGGTTAAGTACCCCTGAGTTCAATCAATCCCCAGTGCCTAAATAAATAAAATAACAGCAGCCCATTACATATTAGCATAAACTGTATATTTTAATTAAAATAACTATACTTTTTAAAAACATCAGAAAGTGGCATTTTTTTACATTCTTACAGATCTCTTTTAATATTTGCATCTAATCTGTTGTGACATCTTGTTTTACTTAAAATTCATAAAGAAAATCTAGTCTCACACAGATATATATTTGGAAAAATGAGGAGTATTTTAATAGCCTATTCAGACAATTGTGGATTTTGCTCTGTGTACTATATCAAAACTCTAATTACTGGTAGTCTCTTAAATGTTAGTTGCAATGTGCAAGCTAATACCATATCAGTGGACTTGTTTTTACTCTGTCACATTAAAACCCATTGGTCAAGTTGGGCAAGGTAGTACACACCTAAATCACAGCGGCTCAGGAGGCTGAGATAGGAGAATTGTAGGTTCAAAGTCAGCCTCAGCAACTTAGTGAGGCCCTGAGCAACTTAGCAAGGCCCTGTTTTGAAATATAAAATAAAAAGGGCTCAGTGATTAAGCACCCATGGGTTCAGTATAAAAACAAAAAAAAATTGGATTGACTTGTATTTTGAATGTATGTTTTCCCCATGCCCAATTTTTTATTACCATGCATTTGGTTATTTGGAAAACACAGGTTCATTGTGTTAAGCAGATCTTCCAAATGTAAACACATTATAATTCTTTATATAATATTAACAAACACAATTGTTGGTAGTCCCATTGTGAACATCAGCAGAATATTAGGAAGCTTTCAATTTCATGGTGGTAGTTTTATTTCGCAAAATTCCTGTTTTCACTTGCATGGCCAAATTCTACCACTGACACAAATACTAGTTATTTTATTTGGGGTGAGAATATTAGTTATTTTATTTGAGGTGAGAAGCTCACTTTTTTCATTTTCAAGCCTGAGGAACAATGAGTTATCTGTCAGTTATTCTTTTGAGTAGAAGTAGTGTTTTATGAAAAAAGTAGGTAGTTCATCTGGCAAATCAAACACATACACAAATGCTTTTTCTAGAAACAACAATCATATTTCATTTCCACAGAAGTGCTGCAAATATACTTCCTATTTTATCACAGAGTAATAAAAAGACTAATATTCAAGGATTTAGATTTAATAAAATTAGTAATTTTTACTGCCTCATCAAGGTCATTCTTAAGTGGAATTAGCTTTTTTGGTGCTGTTGCCTTGATTTCTGCTAAGGCATGAGCAGTTTTACCCAACATTGCTTTTGCATCATTAGTGCAGATGTCAAAACAATGAAAAAAGTATAAAATCTCCTAATATTATTGTGAAAATAATTTTGATTTGGTTAATGGATTTTTTCTCAGTTGAAATTTTGATTGATTGATTATTTAAAGAAGAGGGTCCATAGGTGAGTTTTTAAAAAGTGTCTCATTTGTCTGAGTCCTGAAATATCTCAAGTGTTTTAGGACCATCTAAACCTGATATAATGATTATCTTTGTCACCATGAACCTTCTACCTCCATTTTGTTCTGTAGATTATCAAGAGAGCTTTTCGGTTTTTGTAGATCTCATTGCTATTTGAGACTCTTTTCTTCTAGACTGATAGGCCTAAAGCCTTTATTTAAAACCCTTCTGCATTCTTTCCTAATTTCTGGTAGGAGGTGAGCAGATAAGGATCCTTGATCATCTGTAACTATAAACATCCTTTGCCATATTGTTTGAAGCCATTCAGAAAATACATGAAAAAAAATACATTTCTTTTGTTTGAAATGATCCCCCTTTAGTAATCCTATAGTCTTAAACTATAACTTCCTACTGAGAAAATTACATCTGATAGTATGTGATTATTTTCCTTTAAACTTTGTAAGCAAATCAGTACTTATCAAATTTCTAACATGCTTTCCTTTGTATATTATAATGATGAAACAGCTTACCCATTTAGAAATCATTTTTACCCATTCAGAAATCAATTTTATAATTAATCAAATTAGTATTATAAATAATAGTCCTATAGCACTTCTAAGTTTAAAAGTCATGTTCTGCACATTTAGTTTGAAAAACATAAAAATTAATGTATTATTAGAACTGCTGGATATTGTCATGTCCAGAGTGGTGCCTATCACATAGTACAACTCAATAAATTATTGTTGAATAAATGAATGGACTTTTCTTTTCAGGCCTGTATTGATGAAAATTTGGACATGGTGAAGTTTTTGGTTGAGAACAGAGCCAATGTAAACCAGCAAGACAATGAGGGATGGACACCCCTTCATGCAGCAGCTTCCTGTGGCTATCTCAACATAGCAGAGTGAGTTACTGTTTGTGTTTGGTAGGAATAACCTTCATTTCTCTGCTCATAGAATTTGGATTTCATAAATAGTCATAATCTCTGTTATTAATTGCAAATTCACGAAGTTGACTATTTTTAAAGGCTAATTGATTGTATGTTTTACATAATTGCTAAATCTATAGTTTCTTAGTTGAAAGTTTTTGTTTGCTTTCATCTTCATATAGTTTGTATTTGCTGGATTATGCAGTTAGATTCTGTCTGGTGCATGTCTCGACCCCTCGCCGGCAAGGGAAACACGACACAGGATTCTTCTTTCAGCAGTTTACTCAGGACCTTTGAATCATGATGAGAAAACAGGAACAAGAGAGCGAGCGGTCGGTCTGCCCTAGCTTAAGTACCCAGCCTCGCCAATGAACTAGCACCACGTGGAAAAGTCTAATAGGTACAGCGCAGCGGAAGCAGGCCAGAGCCCAGCCCCACAGCCTTACAAGGAGTTGTTTTACCTCTAACAACTCTAACCGCTAACGAAGCGGAAGCAGAGACCAGCGCCATATTCAGGGTGCGGTCACTGGCTCCCAACAGGTGCACTTTCTCGATTCACTTCTGAAGAACTCTAGCAGGGCACATGTGTAAGCAGGCTGCAATTTTTTTTCTGGATGTCTTTATAAACCTGTTGTTTTTGTTTGTTTTTTAAATCAGTGTTTACAATGGAGTTTCATTCAGCCATAAAAAAGAATGAAATTGTGTCAAATGCAGGAAAATGAATGGAACTTGAGAGTATTCCGTTAAGCAAAATAAGCCAAACTCAGAAAGCAAAAATTCATGTTTTCTCTAATATGTGAAAGCTAGAGTAAAAAAGAGGAAAACAAGTAGGGTGAGAATCTCATGAATCAAAGGAGATCAGTAGAGTAGAGGAAAGAGACCAGGGAGAGGAAGGAGAAAGAAAGGAAAATATTGGTGAATGATTTTGACCAAATTATATCATTATATTGTGTGCATAAACAAATATGTAAACAGATCCCACCGTTATAACAACTATAATGTACCAGTATAAATATGGAGGGGAAAAATATCAATGCTTAAGGCCTAGGGTTGTAGCTTAGTGGTAGAGCACTTGCCTAGCATGTGTGAAGCACTGGATTCAATTCTCAGCACCACAGATAAGTAAATAAAGGTCTATCAACAGTTTTAAAAAATTTTTAAAAATCCATGCTTAATACAAACAAAGGTGAAAATAACTGGTATGCTGGTATTTAGTAGAAGAAAGAACCTAAACATGTAGAACCAAGGAAGGGTAGAGATTGACATGTGTTCTCTACATTGGTTGAATGGATATGTTTAATAAAATAACAGTAGTAGCTATTAACTTCCATGACAACTAGTTGCCCCTCCCTTGGGCAGAAGAATTCTGACTACATTATGTCTGAGATATAAGAAGCACTAAAAAAATCTCTCTTATAAGAAAGAATGATCAGGAAGGTTATTTTTACTTAGGAAAGAGGCTTTGGTGGTTGAAACATCTTTAAAATGAAGCAATTGAGTATATTCTAGATGAGGGAAAATTTATATTGATACAATAAATTCTTTATCACAATGTGTGTGGTCCTTTAGAAATGAGATTGCTTGTTTTAAGGCCTTTTTCAGTGATTATGATTAGAGCTCCATTACATCTCTCTTATTTAGCAATCAGAAGTGAGAATGACATTGGCAGCTATATAGAGGTCTGAGAATAGTTTCCCACAGAATCTGATTTGCCCACATTTCCTGTGGGAGACCCTGTCTTGAGCCAGGGATGTTCATTGGGAGAAGTTAAACAAAGGGGTTCGGGGCTGGGGAAACAGTAGGCAGCATCACTGGGTTGCTTGTTCAAAGAAGCAGAGGACTGCTCAGTCTGAAAGCTGAAAGAAATGAATAGTGTAGTTTCTTGCCTCTTATTTCCTTACTGTATTCTAAATTAGTAAACGTCAGCCACCTCTTTATCCCCTAGGCTGTCCCCATTTCAGAATCTCATAGGAAAGGCTCCCATTCTCAGCCTTATTCACCAGTGCCAACATTTTGATGTCCAAGAGTTAAAGAGATTTTTTTGTCAAATAAATTTGATTTTATTTAATAAGAAATACAGAACATATTGACCCTGCATTTTTGAGAATTGATTAATTTGTTCAGGTGGCATGTTTGTGATATTTGAGCTACCAAGTCTCGTTACATTCAAGAATTCACTTCTTTTCATCCCCCTCCCCTCCACACATATTTTTCTAGAGGAGCTTATGCTTAGAATTAGGATCATTGTGTTGGTTGGCATCACACTCCTGTGAAGTTGAGTACGGATAAATGATTTTAATGAGACTTTTTAAATAGTAGTTATTTTAATTCATTTTTAAAACATAGTTCCTTTAGAAAAATGTTCAAAATTCAGAAATCTCCTGTTCAAATATTACCCTGAATGAAGTGAATCTGTCAGTTACTATTTCTTCATCTAATTATTACAAATTAGATCTATGAAAGTTTGATCATGATTGACCTGATATAGACCACAATACATTGAAGAGCTGGAGTAGGGATGACCTTCTCTTTCATTATGCATATTGTTACTAGACAGATTTTGTTTTTACGGTCATTTTTTTTTTTTTCAATACGTAGCCTTTTTTTTTTTTTTTTTTTTTTTTTGCATTACTGGGGATCAAAGCCCAGGCCTCCTGAATGCCAGGCAAGTGCTCTACCACTGAACTATACTCCAAGCCCTTATTATTTTTATTTTGAAACATGATCTCACTAAGTTGTCCAGGTTAGCCTCCTAGTTTCTAGGATTTCAGGCATGTGCCACCATGCCAGACTGTGGCATTATTTTTTATATGATGAAAAACAATTGTTTATACTATTCAATTTGGCCTCAGAGCCAATGAGGAATGTTTCAGTTAAGATCAGTCCCTGGCCATCTTGTCATTTTTCTTTTTGTGGGGGGGGGGCATTGGGAATTGAACCCAGGGGTGCTTTACCACTGAGCCACATTGCCAGTCCTTTTTATTTTTTATTTTGAGAGAGGATCTTACTACATTGCTTAGGGTTTCACTGAGTTGCTGAGGCTCTCTTCAAACTTACAATCATTCTGTTTCAGCCTCCTGAGTTGCTGGAATTATAGGTGTATGTCACTGCACCTGGCCTCTTTTTGTATCTTAAAGATCTTACATTTTGCATTCTTATTCCCAGGATCATTAGGAACTCTAATTTTCACAGAAGTAGAAAAGAATAAAAAGTAAACTGACTTTCTAGGAAGATACATTCTATTTCATGTTCTGTGATGAATTTTTTGTCTCATGTTTGTACTCAGTATGGTACATCAAAAGGAGGTTTAGAGGTTATTTTTTTTCTCATTTCAACTTAAGTTGAGGCTTAATATTAGTTAACTGGGTATTAGATTTTTTAAAAATATTTATTTTAGTTATAACAATGTCTTTTTAAAAAAAATTTTTATGTGGTGCTGAGGATCTAGTAGCTGGTTTGATAGGGCCTCAGTAAATATTTGTTAATTTCAATTAACAAACTGGTGCCTAAAATGGTGCCTTACCATTGAGCCATATCCTGACCCTTTTTATTTTATATTTTGAGACAGGGCTGTGCCTCATGCATGATAGGCGAGCATTCTACCTCTGACCCCCAACCCCAGCCCTGGCTATTAGATTTTTATTATCAATAGTGTTTGTTTAACTTAGAAGTAGCAGATTGACCTAAGGGTGAAACATTTAGTTTGGCTTTATGGTTTATTGGGATGCTACATTTAATTTCCTTTCTTTCTCCCATAAAAAGTAGCAAAAAGGCCTTTTATCAGTAATGCATTAGAAAGAATAGGAAGGCTTTATTTTCTAAGGACATACACATTGAGCTAATAGTTATTTCTAAGCCTCTAGACACCTATAAGGATCCTTAGGGTAAAGTAGTTACTATTTCATAGGTTGACATTTATTCTTGTTCAGGTAAAAAGTGTAAAACTAAAGAAGATTTACTTTTTTCCCTAAAACAGGAGAATATGGGAAAATAGAGACAGTGAAGAGGGCACAGTTGTGGTCCTCACATTGCTTTGAGTGCTCCTGTGTTCTCATCGAGCTGCAGTGTGGGGTGGTGTGAGAGGAAGGCAAGAGAGAATTCAGTTAGTGAGAAAAGGCAAAGGCTTGAGAAGAAGAAATTGTGTTCCATCCAGTGGAAGAAACACTGAACTAAGGAGGAGAGCTGGGTGAGAGTGGAGTGTTTGGGAATAATAAGGGTTTTGTTTATAGTTTAGTCCCAACAAACATTTATTATGTGCTTATTATGTATATTATTTGTATTATGATTTTTCAGGGTGTGGGTATGTAAAAGGGAAGGAACCAGAAGAGAGGAACCATTGAATATGGGGAAGTAAAAAAGAGAAACTGATGGACAGAATAGTGATATTTGATAGATTTAAGAATACAGATAGAGGGAGTTAACTCTGGAATTGAATAAGGTCTGTCTTCCCCTAAGACTGTGAGAGAAGGAAGAAGACAGTTGAAAATTAGATGAATTGTGAATATCTTTAAGTTTTACATATGTGGAATTGACTATAAATTAACAAACATTTACTGAGGCCCTGTCAAACTAGCTACTAGGCACTGAGAAAGCAAAATCATGGTCTTAATCTAATTTTTATAGATTTTTTCTCCTTTGTCAATTCTTTGAATGTAGTGGCCATACATAGATTTTGGATGGGCATTACTGGGAGATTGAACCCAGAGGTGCTTTACCATTGAGCCATATCCTGAACCCTTTTTATTTTGTATTTTGAGACAGGGTCTTGCTAAATTGCTTCGGGCCTCACTAAGTTGCTGAGGTTGGCCTCAAACTTGTGATCCTCCTGCCTCATCCTCCCAAGTTGCTGGGATTACAGGTGTGTGCCACAACGCCTGACTCATATATTATTTTTTAAAAATTTCCTACAGTGCCTAAAGTATGGTTCTCTGACCGATGACGTTTATTAATTTTTCAATGAATTAAAGTCTGATTTGCAGCTTTTCTTTCCCTTTAAGTGTCTGTGAATATTTGCTAGAGCTCCCAGCATTATTTGGATTCGCACTGGCTCTGAAGTAGTTTGTTCTGGAGAAAAGGTGAATTAGACTTGAATTCAAAGACTGGGGCCATAGCCTCTGCTATTTTCCAGCTATGTGATTTTGAGAAAATTACTTAATATGTGTGAGCCTCAGTTACTTAAAGGAGGATTAGTAATAACTACATTGCCTACTTCATGCCTAAGATTCATGATTTTGTGTGTGTGTGTGTGTGTGTGTGTGTGTGTGTGTGTGAAATCATTTTGAGAATAAAAGAGGACCCATGTAAGGTATTGAAATTATCAGTTTTTTCTTCTTTGGGATTAAGTATTCTATGTGGATTTAGAATCTCACCATTTATCATTTTAATTGTTTCTTCTTCAGTGATTTAGTTTTCCTCCAGAAAATTTCACATACATGATTTGCTGAAGGGAAAGTTTTGTGAATGTATGATTTAAGAGGATTTGTGCAAATTTTAATGCATACTTATTTTTCTATTTTCACATCCACAATACTACTTAGTAAACTCCAATGCGCACTTGGAAGTTTTCATTAGATTTATTTATTTATGTTGCTTTTAGGGGCTCTCTTTCATTCCTAATATTAAATGCAAGGTAAGTCCTTTTGGAAACCCTGTTTGGACTTCTGAGATGGTGGACATGTTTTAAAGACTACATGGTATTTAGAAACTTCTTGCTGTCCACTGGAGTGAGAGAGAGACTGGGAGTTAGGTATATGACTAAGAAAGAAATCCTACTATTGACATTACTCTTGTCAGGAAATGGAGAAACTTCCAGCTCTAATTATTAAAGGCTAATGAAGTTGAAAATTAATAATGAAACACCTTATTTGGGGCCATATTTAAAGTCCTGAAATAGGCCTTGCTCTACACAGAACTCCATATGCACAAGTATAAATTAATATTAGATTGATAGAGATAATATTCATCCTGAGTCTTGTTGCACAGGTATTTCATTAACCATGGAGCCAGTGTGGGTATGGTGAATAGTGAAGGTGAGGTCCCTTCTGACCTTGCAGAAGAGCCAGCCATGAAGGATCTTCTTCTGGAGCAAGTAAAGAAGCAAGGTAACCTAGAGACTATGCTGGGCCCAGAGGGACTCTCTGCCCCCTGTAGAACATAATTCTTTTTGTTGGTTAAAACTTTTGATTATCATATAACAGGAAAGGATTAGATCAGGAAAGGATTAGATCTGTCTGTACAGCAATAATCAACTACCAACATCATGTAACAACTCAACAAGAATAGGCGAAATGCCAAAAGAATGGCTAGTCATTCCTGGTTTTTGCCATTCTGAGGTTGTATACTCACCGGATAGGTAGAAGTAACCTGTGAACTTTTTTATCAGTGCATATATGTTGTTAGATTTGCTACACATTGTGGAGTTAGGGATGGGATACAATGTGACCACATTCATTTTGTAACTTTGCATCTTTTTTCTTGAGAACAGAAGTTGATACTAGTAAAATATATTTATTGTAATTTCTGAAATGATCTTTATATTAATCTCAAAATTATTCTGGTAGTTTAATCAAGCTAGGAATATAATTTAGAAGAATATGCTCTAAAAAGGTTTTTTGTTTTGTTTGTTTGTTTTGGTAGTTTTAGAAGAATTCATTTCAGGGAATGGGGTAGGATTCTCCTACTAAAGGTCTCTGGGTTCTTTTAATTTTAAAATGTTGAATAACACTAGGCAGAGAACAGGAGAACAGGTCTTAGGGAATTCTGCTAGAACTGTCACAAAACTTTAGATGTGATTTGCAGTGCCGTTTTTGTTTTGTTTTGTTTTGGGGGAAAGGGAGTTGGTAAACAACCAGACCCACAATCTGTAGTTTATCCCAAAGGATTTAGCTCCAGGGACCTTTAAAGCAATCAGGGCCATCTGACCATGCCCATTAGTTTACAAGCTGCTTTTGTGCTACAGTAACAGAGTTAAGTAGTTCTTTTTGTTTGTTTGTTTGTTCTTTTTAGTTACACATAACAGTGGAATGTATTTTGTGTATCAAACATACAGGGAGTATAACTTTCCATTCTTGAAGTTGTACAATATGTGGAGTTACACTAGTCATGTATTCATATATGAACATAGGAAAGTTATGTCTGATTCTTTCTATTGTCTTTCCTATTTCTATCCCCCCTCCCTTCCTGTCATTCTCCTTTGTTTAATCCAATGAACTTCTGTCCCCTCCTCCTTATTGTGAGTTAGCATCTGGATATCAAAGAGAACATTCAACCTTTGGTATTTTGGGATTGGCTTATTTCATTTAGCAAGAGAGTCTCCAGTTCCATCCATGCCATAATTTCATTCTTCTTTATGGCTGAGTACTATTCCATTGTATGTATATCACAGAGTTGAGTAGTTCTAATATACCAGATGGCCAGCAAACCCAAAAATATTTAATATTTGACCCTTTATAGAAAGGATATTGCAAACCTACCTTAAAATAATGGTGTTCTAGGTCAACAACTACCGTTTTTATTGCCTTCTACATATAATTTTGTGCCCTATTGAACTGAAGGCTTTGGTGCTGTTTACCCTCCCATCTCACTCAGTTGCATTTTCTACAATATGTTTTACAATTTACAGATAATTTTTTAAACAAACCAGTTTTTAAAGTAGTTTTGGTTTGAGAATCTACTTTTCCTATTTTGATTGTTGACTCTTCAGTTAAGGATTATACTCTGTTGGAATAGACATTCATATGTATGCCTAACTTGTAGCACTGTTAACTCCCCTTATAGTGTGTGGAATTCTGGTCTGTTCTTCACCTCTTCCTTTCCCCAGATTAGACAGAGATAATACTTAGGTAGCTCCCAGATTTTCATTTAAGACTAGAAAGGGAGCAGACCAAGCACAGAAAAGATTGATAATGAAGGTGGAACTCTTTGAATGGGTATGTTTATATTTGAGACATTTCATTATTTATATATCAGGGAGTGCCCCATCTCAGCCCTTCTTCATTGGCATGGGTATTGGAGAGTGGTTGGCTAAAGGGAGGAATTCTTGAAGTTCCTCCATCATGCTTTTGACTTGTTTTTTTAGCCTGCAGATCACCTTCTCATCTCTGAAGTATTATGTATAGCTTCAGGTCACTGTATTTTTCTGTATATGGAAACAAGCTTTAAAGATAGTTTATTTTAAAGTACGTCATACCTGAAACCAACATCTTTAATACTAACCTTTTGGTGTAATGAGTGGAAAAGAAAAACAGACAGGGATCAAGTATTTCAGAGTTCTAGCATCACTAATGTGTTTTGTAGCTTTAAGCAAGGCATTAAAACTTTTCATGTTTATTTCCTTATATGGTAAATGGGGATATTATACTCACTTCAAAGAATTGTTTGGAAACTGAAATGAAATAACATAAAAGAACCTTGAAGTTTATAGCTTTGTGCAAATATTATAAGTAAAAATAATATCCCCTCTGATTTTTATGTTCTGTTGAAAATGATTTAGGCATGTTTCCTCAATGGATCTGCATCACATAATATTTAGCCTGATGATTTAACCTGGTAAGACCATTAATGTGTGTGCAAAATCAGCTGCTTTCCTAAATTTGAGGACTATCCAGTTTGATAATTAAACTGTTATCTGTGGTTATATTTATGATGTGTTTTGAATCTAAGGAAAATAACCTGTTAGACTTGAGTAGAGTTTTAGTAATGCTGGCTGTCTGGTATATTACTTCTATAGGAGTTGATCTAGAGCAGTCAAGAAAGGAAGAAGAGCAACAGATGTTACAGGATGCCCGCCAGTGGCTCAACAGTGGGAAAATAGAGGATGTGAGGCAGGCCCGCTCAGGAGCCACAGCCCTCCATGTGGCTGCTGCCAAGGGCTACTCTGAAGTGCTCAGGTATTGTTTCTGTATATCAATCAGTAGTTTGGTTTACTGGATGAGATGAGATGAGTTTTGAATGCCAAAGGTGAATTAGATTTTCAACTATGATGTGTTTCCTTTTTTGTTGATCATGCAGTTTTTTGTTCCCCCACCCCATATTTTGCTGATATTAGGCCACAGATAGTCTACCTCCCTCTTGCCATCCCTCTAGCTTTTCACTGATATGTATGATATATGAAAAAAGAATTAAGATACACAGACCTTGTCCCATTCTATGAATTTGTCATTAATTCCCCTGCAACTTTCTCCTCTTAGGACCTGCAATGCAGGATAGACCTATGATCATTTTGGTCCTTTTTGACTTAAATAATTCCTTGGGACTCTTTAGATCAATCTTACAGATCTTGAATATGCAGTGTCTAGAATAGTCAAACTTACATGAGGGATTTGGATTCTGCTATGTCTATTCCAGTTTTTCTTACATCTGTGCCTTATGTAGCTTTTGGTGCTTAGAGTTGAAAGGTTTTCCCCAAAACGTGAGTTGCTGAAGGCACTGTGTGTGCCATTGCTGCCGAACTCCTTCAGTGTTCTATATTCAACCTAATATGGGGTTTCTAATAGATATGGCAGTGTGTTGTACTCCATGTCTGTCCAAGTGTGACATCCATACTGTGCTCAATTCTTGGAAGATTTCTGGAGCTCCACAATAAAGGGCTTCAGCCAGCTCAGTGCAATTTGGGACTTCTGGAATCATATCTTTACATGTATAACATGGTTACAGTTAGATTAAAGCTTTAAAATTAGTGTCTGCAGATACTCTTGTAGAGTAGAAGGTATGAGATTCTGTAGTAAACCTATGATATTGTGGAAAGACCAACCAGAAAGTATCCTGAAGAAATATGAGCCCTTGTTTTATGTTAATTTCTCCTTGCCCTGGAGAATAGAGAGCACATTCTATAATAGAGTTGTATGACTTGGTTAATTGAATTAGGTTTTTGTTAGTCTCAGGTACACACCTGTCTTTGCACTCCCCTTATACAGTATACATGGATATGTGTAGGAAATCCCATACAAATGACCTTTTTGAGGGGCTCAGTTAAAAATCATCTATGATTTATGCTCAAAGTAGCAATTATGAAACCATAGCTATGCCTTAGAGGGCAGAAGTAATCATAGAATGTATCCCTGTAGTTCAGGGCTCAATCTGAAATATCAATTAATTTGAAAAGCACCTACAGGTTGAGCATCCCTAATCCAAAAATCTAAAATCTGAAATGTTCCAAAATCTGAAACTTTTTGAGTGCCAATATAATGCCCCAAGTGGAAAATATTTTAAAGCCCATAATTATTTAACATATTGTATAAAATGACCTTCAGCTTTTTTGGCAGAAAATTGTAAAATTAAAAAGAGAAATGTAATATTTGGTGTTTTCTTCTTAGACTTCTAATTCAAGCTGGCTACGAACTCAACGTTCAGGATCTTGATGGCTGGACTCCCCTCCATGCAGCAGCACACTGGGGAGTGAAGGAGGCTTGTTCCATCTTGGCAGAAGCACTCTGTGACATGGATATCCGGAACAAACTGGTTAGTGAGTCTGAATCTCTAAAAGGCAATGAGGTTGGTGGTTGAGTCTCTAGAACAAAATGGCCAGGTGACTGCTCTGGAGAAATGTGCATCCCTGGTAGCTGTGATGCTGCCCTCACCTGCCTGCCCTCACCCATTATCAACATAGAGAAGTGTTGCTACATGAAATAAAACCCCATTAACCTAGTGAAGCCCTTAAAACAAACTTGGCAAAAAAAAAAAAAAAGGCTTTCAGAAACCTAAGGCCACTATTTATAGTGAAATATGGAAGAATTGATATTTTTCAAATCATTCTTTTAACAGCTGAGCTCTATTCACATTGAGTCATTTAAAAATGTTACAATAACAAAGAACTTTGAGTTTTGGCTGAAAATAGCCTTATTCAGCCTCACTTCAAGCATCTTAGAAGCCCTGAATTCCAATCCTTGTCTCCTAATTTTCTAAGAACCCAGAGATAATGGACTTTTGTTTTCTTTTTTCTTTTTTCTGTACTGGATTTGAATTCAGGGGAGCCTTTTCACTGAGCTACATCCCCCAGTCTTTTGGAGTCACAGTCTCACTAAGTTGCTGAAGGTCTTGCTAAGTTGTTTAGGCTGGCCTTGAACTTGCGATCCTCTTGCTCAGCTTCCCAAGTTGCAGGAATTACAGGCATGCAGCACTGTACCTGGTTTGGATTCTTTAATTAGTAGATGTTCTTATCTGCTTCATGTCTCCTTTGGGTCCTGGTTTCATTCTTAGACTATAGGTCAGAGTCCTTAATTGGGATGATGTTTTCTAAAAGAGAAAACCTTCCTGTCTGCCCTTTAGTTACTTAAAGGGAGATGATTTCTGTGACTTATCTTTGGTGCACATGTTTCTGAACCTCCCCCAGAGGTTTTTAAGAGCCCTTATTAAATTCATCATTGTAATTAAGACCTTTTTTAGAGTAGGTACAAGTAGAGGTTTCCCTTGATTATTTGCCAACAGCAATAAACATTAAAAATGATGTGGTGATATTTCCTCAATACTGTTTTGTACATTATGAAGCTCTCTGCTTAATGGGTTTGCTGTTTCTTACAGAGTTTCCCATGTAATAGATGAAGGCCTGTCATAAAGTAGGGTAGATTAATTTGGAAAGCATCTACAGGTTTAGCGTCCCTAATCCAAAAATATAAAATCTGAAATTCTCCAAACTCTGAAACTTTTTGAGTGCTAATATAATGCCCCAAGTGGAAAATTCTACACCTTTAAAGCACACAATTATTTAACATATTGTATAAAATGAGTTGTATATGAACAAGTTGTATATGAAGAATGAATGATGTTTGTGTATAGACTTGGATCCTATCCTCCATGTATCTTATTATGTATAAGCAAATATTCCAAAATCTGAAAAAAAATTCAGAGACTTCTGGTCCTAAGCATTTTGGATAAGGGATACTCACTCTGTATCATTGGAATCTAAGGCAGAACGTGAATATTGCATAGTCCCTGATAAAATAAAGTTACATAATAACTGCTTCTATTTTCTATCAGTCATTGTGCCCCTTTTCTCTCCCAGGGTCAGACGCCATTTGATGTGGCTGATGAGGGTCTTGTGGAGCATTTGGAGATGCTCCAGAAGAAGCAGAATGTGGTGAGTCACTGTTAAATACTTTGAAAGCTCTTCTAGCAGTTTGCAGTCTACGGTGGGTATCACAGTTGCTTGCTTTTATTATGTCTGTTGAGAACTGAACTGGACATTTCCGCATTCCAGAGATATTCATTGTTTCCTTCAGGAACTATCAAGAGTCTGTTAGAAGAAAGTATTCTAGAAACCACTGTTGTTAAAGTTTGCTTGTTGTAAGATATCCTTGAAGCAGATGAAAGCAACAAACAACAACAACAACAACAACAACAAAACTATACACTTGAGTTCTAGAAAATGCTTATGTTCAAATTAAGAGCTTTTTTTCCAAATGAAAATTACTAAAAGTATATAATTTAAAGCATATTGATTATAAAGAGGAATATTTATCTTTCTTAACAAATATAAAAGATAAAACAGTTATTTGGTATTGGACAGTATTGGTCAGTGATTCATACTTATTCTAGATTCCATGAAACATCCAAAATTCAATCCTCTTCTCCTTCCTCTTCATTTTAAATCTTTTTTTCATTTGGTTACCTGTGCCATTCTGCTTAGTGCTACACACACCTGGTGCCCATGCACAAACTGCAGCATGGAAAACCACCTCCAATAAAGAGATGAAGAATGAATGTGTCACATTTACTCCCCACAAAGGGGATGAGTAATTTGGTGAGGAGAATAAAGATCAGTGACCACAGGGTAGGATAGGAAAAAAAAAAAAAATCAGTGGCTTTCCTGTTATATAGCAGCAACAATCTTCCTAATATAAGATGTATACTTTGCATCATTTTAATTAGGTTTTTAAAACCTTTTTATTCTGAAATAATTTTTCATTCACAAAGAAATTACAAAAATCATAGAGAAGATTCCTATAAATTCTTTACCAAACATTGTTATGTTTTTGAGCCTAAATAATATTGTCACTGAATAACATTTCTACAATTATGATAATGATTCATACCCATGTCTCCTACATAACTTTAGGCTCTAGGGATAGAATACATATTGTCTAGAGCTTGCATCTAAATATCATTCTAAGGGCTAATTTCCCATTTTGGTACCTGTGTTTTCTTTAGAATTATTGTTAACTTTATTTTAGTTAGGGATCATATAGAATTCTTTCCAAGTTGCTGCTGGCCTTTTGTTCTTCAGAAGCTAGGTTTTTTTGGGATTTGGGTATTTGAAACAGGAAGTTTTCTTGAAGCGTTAACACCGTGTTTTTTCTTGTCTAATCTGGATGAGGATTTTCCTCTGTCATTTTTTCCTAAGGAGACCCAGCTGATGTGTTTCTCTTTTTTTCAGTTTCTTTTCCCCTACTTTAGTGTGGGTTCTATCTTCTTCAGGATGATAGTGCCATTGGGTTCTTCTTAGTACTGCTGATTTTTCACCAGTAGTCAACTTTTTTCCTTTTCTCTGTTTTGTCAATTTTCAGCTTCGAAGTGAAAAGGAGACACGAAATAAACTCATTGAGTCAGACCTGAACAGCAAGTTGCAGAGTGGACTCTTTAAGAAGTAAGATACTTGGGCTTGAGGAATGGGTTCAAGCAGTGTTCTAATATGTCAGACTGACCCTGAGAATTTATATGGTGAAGAAACTATAATTGTTTTAGTCAGATCATCTTCAAACATGTTAAAAAGTTTAGGGGACAGGGAGACGACATTGATATGGGTGGAAAACACTGAGAATAGGTGAATGTGCTTTAAACTTAGAAATTAATGAAGACTGAATGCATGCAGCGTTTCTCCTATCCTAGCTTGAGGGTTCTTAGTCCCACCTATTCCCATAAATGCACTGTGAGTTCTGTTGTTTACCACTGTTTTGGTGCCTAGCATGATTCCTGGCATGTAATAAGTTGTGAGTAAGCATCTGTTAAGTTTTTGTTTTTTTATATCTACCCATCATCACAAGTCATGGTTTCCTTTTTTTCTGTATGTTGAATAGGCCAGATCTCCTTGAGTCATATTCAAGAGTCAATACTACACCTTAATCTGCAAAAAAAAAAAAAAACTCAGAGTTCAGATGAACACATAGATATAAAGAAGGATTAAAATATATTTCTACTATTGCCTCTCTATATACTATAGTCTGTAGATTTGTTCTCCTTATTTTGTCATTACTTCTGAATTACATTCAACTTGTGTCTTTAATTTAGCAAAGAGAAGATGCTATATGAGGAAGAGACACCCAAGTCCCAAGAAATGGAGGAAGAAAGTAAAGAATCCAGCAGCTCTAGTTCAGAGGAAGAGGAAGGTGAAGATGAAGCTTCTGAGTCAGAAACTGAGAAGGAGGCAGGTAATGTAAAGATTCTCCATTTCCACTGCTTGTCAGAAAGCTGGCCAAGCCTCAAGGCACTGCAAATTTAGTTTTCAAAGAAAAGAGATCAAATTGCTAGTGACAGCTTGTTTATAAAAGCTGTGAGCTCTGTTAAACTATATCTTCCAGTTTCTATGCAGCCATGTAGTAAGGTGCACAGAGAATTCTGTGTGCGGGAGCCAGCTGTCCTAACCTTGAATTTGTAAATAGCATCAAGATCAGATTCCAAAAAGTCACTATGTCTCTTTGGGTCAAATACTTTTGATGAACTGGTGAAAATTTGTACTTAGTTCTCAGGTTAGTTTGATTCCCTAAACAGAATCCTAAAATCGACCACCCTCTCCAACCCTCGTCCCCCATCTTCTCCTTATTATATAAGGTTCCTTCAGGTCCTGAATAGAGGATTAAGAAAGGAACAATATCATATTTACCTTTATGATTCTTTTTAGTGGAGGGGTAATACTGGGAATTGAACCCAGGGGCATTCTAACACTGAACTTAAACTCCTGCCCTTTCATTTTTTCAGACAGGATCTCACTAAGTTGCCAGGGCTGACCTTGAATTTGTGATCCTTCTGTCTCAGCCTCCTGAATAGCTTGGATTACAGGTGTGCACCACCATGCCTGGCTTATCTTTATCATTTTTTTTTTCTTTTTGTGTCAGGATTAAACCCAGGGGTGTTTAACCACCAAGCCACATCTTCATTCCCTTTTTTTTCTAAGTTGCTGAAGTTGGCTTTAAACTTGAGATTCTCTTGCCTCAATCACCCGAGTCATTGGGCTTACAGGCCCTATATGACGTTCATTGATAACAGTACAGTCCTTCCCAGGTATTCTGGGAAATTGGTTTTAGGACCCCTGTAGATAATCAAAATTCTTAGATGCTTAAGTCCCTTATTTAAAACGATACAGTATTTGCTTATAAACTATGCACACCCTCCTGTGTACTTCAAATAATTCTAAATTACTTATAATATACAATGTAATATAAATGCTATGTAAATAGTTGTTACACTGTATTGTAGGGAATAATGATGGGGAAAAAGTCTGTACATATTCAATATGTATACATTTTTTTTCTTGAATTATTTTCAGTCCATGGTTAGTTGAATCCATGGAAGGCTAACTGTAATCTCATATGGAGATTCTTAAGTTTATTATTGACAAGACAGGAGCCCTAAAAATGAGAATGAGGTGCTGAACATGGTCAGATCATTAAGCTATAAAATAGCCTATAGGTTTGGTTTTGTAAAGGCCGGCAATCATTGAGAAATAATAAGCTGGATTTTACTGAATAGAAATTCAGCTGCAAAGAATAGTTCTCATAGATAATTGGAAAGAAATGGTAAGCTAAGATTTTAATTGCACATATGCCCTGCATTCATTGGCACATTATCCCTCCAGATTTGAGTTCATGAAAAAAAATGACATTTCCAGCTTGAAAACCAAGTTAGAGGGGAAGAGGCCACCCATTAAGTTTATAATGAAGTCTGTATTTTCCTCTGAATTCTGTTGTAGCTGGACTACCTATAATGAAGATATTTAACTTACTCTGTTGTCTTGGCCCAAGCTTCTGATGATGTCTGGCTTTCCTGATATGGTTTCTGTCAATCATGGGAGAATATCACCTGTCTTCATGTTTCAATCTGAGGCTCACTGAATGTCACCAGAGGTTAGAGTTCATCAGTGCGATAGAGAAGACAGACACTAGCTAGGTTTGCAGTATAGGAGATGACCTTATATTCATTGAGACTTGGATTTCTATTATTAATCAGGTGTAGCTTGCTCTGGAAATGCTAGTGTCAGTACTTAAAAAGATTTATAAATGTGTTTCTTTTTGTCCTTTGTATTAGCTATTGAGCATTGACATATTGCCAAGTTTTCAGATATTACCTGGAATTAATATTGGGCTTGCTCTATGCTATATCTACTAAGGTATTAAAAAAAAAATGGGAGGGAGCTGCTTGAACTCCTGGCGTTGCTTGTGATTTGTACCACCACCCCAGATCTCATTCCCTGCAGCCCATCTTTACACTGCTGTTGGAGTAAAATACCTACAACACCCTTATAACTATTGTGTACCTAATTCAAAACCTAGAACTATCTCCTCACTCCACCTTTGCCTACGGACTAAGTCCCAAACTCTGTAGCCTGGCTGTCAAGGCCTTTCATAATCTATCTCCAGCTGACCTTTCCAGTGCTACACACAGGCAAGGACATATTGTAGTCAGACCATATTGCTTGATTTCTTTAAACATGCTGTGATCTCTCCTGCTGTTGAATGTTTATTTGTACTTTAAAATTTATTTCAGGCCTTCAGATGCTTGTTTAGTGAGTTCTGTTAGGAGCTTTAGGATCTAGCAGATTCAAATGGTGATTTTTTAGGTTTTTCTGATAACTGAAATCTGCAAAGAATGGACCCCTTTTCTGTTCTCCCACCCAACAGTATTGCTCCCCTGTTTGTATCCCTCTAGCACCATGTTCTTAATTTTCTTCTAGTACTCATTGTTTTGGCTGGGAACACTGGGTTTATTATTATGCTCCCAGGTCTCAGCACAATGCCTGGCACATGGCAGGCACTCACATTCACTAAATGTTTTTTTCTTGAATATGTCTAGTAGGGGAATAGAAAGGCATATATACATAAGTAAAATACATGCCATGTGAGAGAGATTAATCCAATCATTGGTATTCACTAGTAAGAAAGATTATGTTTAGTTCAGGGAATTGTAATAAAACTTTACATCTGCAGTGCATTTTACTTTGCAACACACATTTAAACATTTTTATTTATTCCTCATAATCACACTCTGGGGTATATATCATTATCACCACTTTTTAGATTGAGAAATTGACACCATAGGAGGTTAGGTGAATTAGGTTTCATAGATAGCACATATAGTTTTGATCTAGAGCTCCTCAGAATAGTAAAGGACCAGTGCAAATTATCTGCACAGAAGTGAAAGATGGAATTAGAAAAGGATGATATCCCTAAGGGAGAGACTTTAGAGAAAAGAGGTACAAAAAAGAATCTTGACATACTGTGCTTAGGATGTGAAGTGGAAGGAAGTGAAATAGAATCACTGAAGGAGGCAAAGAAGGTGTGACCAGAGTGATTGAGGAAAACCAGGATGCATCATTCTACCTCAGAAACCAGGGCTGTAGTGAGAAGGGAGAGCTGAAGGATGACACAGCAATTAGGAAGTCACTAGTAATCCTAGAGAGCAGTTTCACTAGCCTGGTGTGGGCAGAAGCCAGATGGTTCTAGCAAGCTTCCCTACTCATTTCTGCAGTTCTCTGCCAACTGAAATTTCACTCATGTCCCAAATCCCAGCTCCAATCAACTTTTTCTTTATGGAGCCCTACCATATAAATATATGGTTTTCTTCCCTCCCCTGATTCCTGTAGCTATTTGTTTGAATGTCTGATGTATTACTTTTTTCCTGATGTTTAATATTTGAATTATTTGGTTTGTTGCTCTTCCTTTCTGCTCTTCCCCCACCAGCAAGCTTTGGAAGCACTTGAAAGTAATGTTTCTTGATCGACTTGCTATGTACCATAGTTCCTAGCACATGGCATTCTATTAAGGTGCTCAATAAATATGTGGGGAAAATGCAAGGAAGTGCATTATACCAAAACCTTTCCAAATATTGCCTGTGTCGTACTAAACGAATACTTGTTGAATTCATTTATCCTAATTTTAAAGACCCACAGACACAACTTTTTAATATGATATTTTTCATGTGTCTTATGTTGTAGTAAAGATATTAATTATATTTTGAGGTGAACATAAGCATTTTGATTAGAGTTTTTCTTTTTCCGCTTTTATTTATTTGACTTAAATATTTTGTGAATCAATTATTCATTGCTGAGTAAAAACTATCCCCAAACTTAGTGGCTTAAAACAAGAATACCTTATGTGTACCAAATTCAACGGATTGGCAGTTTCAGAAGGGCTCAGCTGTATGATTTGTATCTCCTCATGGTAATGCTGGGTTCACTCATGTTTGTATAGTCAATTGTTGAATCATCTAGAGGGATGAGGTCCTAGATGGCAGGATGTTTAGTGCAAATGAGCCATGTGACTCCTATCTTCAAGCAACTTAGCTTCTCCTTCTTCATGTGGCAGATGCTTCAAAAAGCAGTCAAAGGCCAAAGCTCAGTGTATAGGCACTTTTCAAACTTAACTTTTGTCACATTTGCTAATGTTCCCATGGCCATAGCAAATCACCTGGCTAAGCCCAGAGTCAATGTAGAAATGGTATGGATTCATGGAGACGTGATTTGCACAAAGGTATGGATTCGCCGAGACATGATTTGTTGGGAGCTATTACAGTAACAGTCTGTCACATTTGGCTAGTAAGCTGGATTTCTCAGGGCTACAGATACTCAGATAGTATTTAAAGAATGCCTTGAATATTCACAATAATTCAAAAAAAATAACATTATTTTTTTAAAAAATGAGGAATTTACTATGGCCAGACAATGAGCTATGCAGTTTTAGAACATAATCTCTAATCTTTATCATAATTCCCACAAGGTAAGACACAGTGAGAAAATAGAGATTTAAATATAAGTATACTTTTCTAGTATCACACAGTTAGGATATAGCTTAAAATTGTCACATAATTCATGATTAGGTTACTCTGGGGTTGTTTCCAGAGTACATAAATCAGAATCAGTGCATAATTCACTAGACACAGGCACAGTGGTAGTTATTTAGTTTGTAGCAATAAAAAGACAAGCTTTCTGATTGATAACCCTACCGATATGGACCACTCGTGAGTTCAGCAATAATATTATTCTGTAGCTCACCCTCCAATCCCTTTTTACCTTTATTTCCTATTGTAACCATAGGAATTCCCACTATTTAAAGTAGGCTGGCCATTTTGCTGACCATCAGATGTATGTCTTTTGATTTCTGAGCCATTACTCATGCCCCTTCTTCCTCTTCCACCTGTCAGTCAGTACTGTCTTCCAGCTTCCTCTGTGGTTCTGTTCTAGAGAATCCTGACTAAAGTAGCAATTTTCCCTGTTTCTTCCCTCAGAGGATCTGCCTCCTCCGAAATTCTCTAGCACTTGTTGATCTGAATCGACCACTTTAGTACCTGAATTTTATATGACATTGTGTTATTATCGTTGTAAAGAGTCTTATCTCTTTTGATTATAATTACCTAGAAAACAAAGTCTATCTTGCACTTTTTGTTTTTTTCCCTGCCAAGCAACCCCCAAACACATATTCTTCCCAAGTAGTAACTAATGAATTCTATATATGATTTTACTGATAAAGTAGAAACAATTTTCACTTTTCATCTGGAAATTAGAGTTGGAGCTTACATAAAGAATCAGTGCATAACACTGCCAAAGAAACAAGATGGGAATATTGTTGAGTTTATTTTCTTCTGCCCACAGTGGCTGGAGAGTTCATCTTAGTTTGAGTTTAGTATTACATGGCCCTAAAATCTGTTCTGATAACAAGCCTTTTCTGTTATCAGAAAAGAACATAGACACACAAAGGTATGGTTTTCATACTTGGACTTGTTACTTCTCTTGTCTTAAATAACAGATAAAAAGCCAGAAGCCACTGTCAACCATTCCAACTCTGAAAGCAAGAGTAGTGTCATGGAGCAGATACCAACACCAGCTCAGAATACCTTCTCTGCCTCTTCTGCTAGGAGAGTGAGTACTTTGGAATTGTTTGGGTATTATATTTCACCCTCCTGCAATAATTCATATTTAGAAAGGACTCAAAGATATGTTCTTGTAAAACAATAAAGATATACTTTTGCCTTAGTCCTCTCCTAGAACAAAATACCACACTGGTTGATGTAAGCAATTGAAATTTATTCCTCACAGTTCTGAAGGCTGAGAAGTCCCAGACCAATATACTGGATTCAGTATATGAGCCATGTGACTCTTCTGTCTTGAAGATGGCCACCTTCTTGCTATGTCCTAACGTGGTGGAGAGAAAGGGAGCTCTGGTGTCTCTTCCTCTTCATATAAGGGCACCAGCCCTGTTGGAGGAGAGACCCACTCTGTTGACCTTGTTTAACCATTATCACCTACTCACTGGCCCCATCTCCAAATAAGACATATTGGGGATTAGGGCTTTAATATATGAATTTTGTAGGGACACAAAGAATCAGTGCATAACACTGCCAAAAATACTTTTTGTAAAACCATCACCAAATATGGCTACAGATGGGTTAAGATGACATAGGATAGAATAGTCTGGGACCAAAAACATTTTTTTTAAAAGTCATTTCCTGTTTTTTTTCACATTCAAGGTTAAGGTAACTATGTATAAACTTTAGACAGGTTTGGGAAGATATCTGGCATCCAAAAATAATTGCTTTGATGACTATTCTCTTTTTTCTACTTCTCTCTAAAACTTTGTTTTCATGTCTTTAAACTTTATAATGGGTAAAGGGCAGAAGTAGAAAGAACATGTTGAAATTCCAGGAGCACTTCCTGCTACAACTTTACACAAACTAAGAATCTGTAGGCTCCTAGTCAGTGAGACAGAGCTGAATGATGATCCACTCTACAAAGTGCAAAATTGGTTTTGAAGTTAAGAATTGATCCAAATTCTTTGGAATAGAACTGTTGAAAAAACTGTGGTTTTGGAGATATTAACTTATTGATCTTATTTCCTCATGAATTGGAAAGATGGGCTTCTGGTGTCCTTGTGGAAATGAGAGAACCAGTCTTGGCTGCTTATTTATTCCTAGAAACATCACTGTGAATCATTACACAGGCTTCAAATAGAATATAATCACTTGGTTGTACCTCACATACTGTCACTGCTTCTAGTTGTGACTAGATTTCCTATGTTTTTATTTTTATTTCATTTTTAATTTTTTGCTCTACTGGGAATTGAACCCATGAGTGCTCTCCCACTGAGCTATATTCCCAGTCCTTTTTTGAGACAGGCTCCACCAGGTTGCCCAGGTTGGTTTTGGACTTTTGTTCCTCCTGCCTCAGCTTCCCAAGTTGCTGATTATAGGTGTGCACCACAGCACCCAGCTAAACTTCCTAATTTTCAAAAAGAAAAATAATAAATTTTTAAAAATACAAACACATGCAGTACTGATTCCACTTTGCTGAATAATACTGTGAAAGGGGGAAAGATTCCCTAAGAATTAGGTAACTTATGAAAAGAAAGGAGTATATAAATGTATGTACTCACGTGACAATGAAGAGAAAACTCTGAGCATGAGTTGGAGATGAATGCATTAACATTTGTACTGCATTTTCACTATTTCAAGCAGTAAAGATGACCTTGCAAAGTTTCCCAGACCTTAGGAAGGAGCTGTTGGGTAGTGTTCCAAAGACCAATTATACCCTAAATTGGTCTTTGGGCTAATGCTAGTCTATGAATTTTCCCTGATTTATAATTAAAGATAAAGTAAGCTTTTTATGATGCTTCCTTTTTTTATGCAGTGCTAGGGGTGGAACCCAGAGCCTTGCACGTGTTAGGCAAGTACTCTACCACTGAGCTTCAGCCCCAGGCGTGAAACTTTCTTTTCTAAAATTAAAAATTCCTTCTTCTTTTTAATATAATGACAGTGATGGTGAGCTGTTCATGTTTTGAAAGATTTTCTCTCCAGACAAAAGAAAAAAGATAGAAACCTTTGACCTTTAAAGTTTTTAAATTTTGTGGTCAGTGAAATCTAAAATTCTTGGAACTGCTATCCAACATCAAATAAGTTCTTTTGAAGTTGGCAGTTAGAATTTGTGTGGAGGAGCCTCTGATATTTTTATTAGTATTAAATCAGCTTATCACAAAAGTACCTTCAGACATATTTACACATTAGCTCATCTTGTGTTTTCAAACTCCACATATCATATGGAGGAATTAAACTCATTATCACCATTTTACAGATGAGCATGTTGAGACCTAAGAAGTGAAATATCTTATTTTCAGTTACCCAGTGAGTCAAGAGAAGATGTATCACTACCTCTTCATCTGTATTCACTACATCTGTATCAACCTCCTGGTGCTCCAGGTCAGTTAAGGAGAGCAAATGGTTTTTTATTTCTCAGAACAAATTTGTCAGGGAGGAGAACTGTGCTGAGAATTGGAGGCTATTTCTGGCTTAGGGAGAAAGAGAGTCTTGAGAGGTGATAAGCGTCCTCTAGGTGAGGAGGGCACATTGGCAGACAGCCCACCGTGTGTTTGTTCTCTGGTGCTGCCTTAGTTGCTTCACTGAACTTTGTTAAGCATGGAAAGGGCAAATAGGCTCAAACAGAAGGCTCATCAGGATCTTGCTTTTTTCTTTTCTTTGCATCCTCCCTCTTAGTTCTCCTCCAGCCTTTTTAACAAGCCAGAAGAGGCCAAAGATGAATCTCCTTCTTCATGGAGATTGGGACTCAAAAAAACTGGCAGTCATAACATGCTGAGTGAAGTGGCCAATTCTAGAGAAGGCCTAAGGGATCGAGGCTCTTCCATCTACCGCTCCTCTTCAAGCCCTCGGATCTCTGCTCTGCTGGACAACAAAGATAAGGTGCAATTCCAGCAGGATGTGGGAGAATTCCAAGCAGTTTTCTTTCATAAAAATTCAATCCTGGGAATAATGAAAATATTTTCTGTTCTCTAAGAGGAATGTAGAACTGTAACACCTGAGGAAGGAGACAGACACATTGATAGTATCATCAAGTTGCTGTTTGCTTGCTATTATTCTCTTGGTCAAAAAAGAAAATAAATTTTAAATATACTTCTTCTTTTGACTTATATGTTCATTCTTGCTTACCTTCTTATCTAGAGTAAAATAGAGGATCAGAGAAAATTGGATATGGCTCAAAAGGTTCTTTTGAATCAATACCAGAAACTTCACTCTTTTGATGTTTAGAAGCAAAGTTCCTTAGCTGGGCTTTGAATCCTAATGAAGCTCAGGCACATTAGGATTTAGAAAAAACATTTTTACACTTGTAATCTTTTAAATTCATAGACATATGATCAAGCTAACACTATAAATAATTCCTCTATGTATTCATCAGGGACGAATTTGGTTCCAGATTTTATAGGGCTCACTTAGTACCCTCTTCTGGATCAGATCTTCCTTATAATCATAGTCCTCTTGTTTTGTCTTGTACTTCTGGAGAATACTTGAAGAGGAAAGGCATATTGGATTAATTCTGCAGCATATCTTTTGTGCATTTTAAGGAAAAGATATGCTAGCGATTCAATAGACTTATTTGATTAAGAATAGTGAGGAGAGCTCCATGACTTTTAAATATTATGGATCTTTATTTTTTAGATATTATGGATCTTTATTTTATTAATATATTTATATATGGTGCTGAGAATTGAACCCAGTGCCTCACACATGCTAGGCAAGTGCTCTCCCACAACCCTAGCCCGCTCCGTGACTTTTCAAAGGCATGACTACTGCTTTGTGTAATTTGTGCTTCCGTTGTCTATCCTTACTTATGAGAATTATTTCACTGCCTATGAGATTTTAATGGAGTGATAGGAATAAGCTTTTGAAAGCTACCTTTTTAAATATCACTCACAATGGCATTAGTGTGGAACCAGATATAAGACTATATAGGTAGATTAGTTCTTGCTTTTTTAGCCAAATTGTTTTATGCTGGATCAGTATTGTACCTTTCTTGTGCTTTGCTTTTTTTTATTTTACAGGAAAGAGAAAACAAAAGCTACTTTAGTTCACTGGCATCCCGGAGGCTCAGTAGCACAAATGACATTGAAGAAAAGGAGAACAGGTAATCATAGCACAGACCAGAAGATGGTTTCCTTTAACTCTTCTGGGCATAATGATCTCGTGGCCATTATACCTCTGCCTTCTTCCTGTAGGTGTCCTTAGCACGTTATGAATTATTTGTTCCTTCTTCTGAGAATGCTTCCTAGCCCATCTAGATGTTACTGTTTGTAGGACATCCTCCCTGGCCCTTCCAAATTGTGGGTTAGTTTTATTCCCCTAGCAGGCTCTATAAAGATAGGGTCTATATCTGTGTGATTGCTCAAAGACCTCTAGTGCCTAGCACTCTGCTTATCATATAGAAAACATTAAAAATATTATTTACTTGGTTAATGTATAATTTGTAAGTAGATAAAATTTAAAGTCTTCCTCACCAGTTAAAAGCAATACAGGGATTTTGAAGTACTCCTGCATCTCAGGGCAGAACCTAACCTAGAACCTTTCTTCTCACAGTATGGTCCTCCACCCACAAAAGATGGAATGTCTGTGGATCCAAAATCCTACTACAGCCCCTTCCTTGATGCCTTTTAATTTATAATGCTAAAGAGGCCCCCAACAAGTCTTCCTTTCCTTTCTCCTTCTGTAGTAACCTTTTTCCATGGTGGCAGACTTCGTCTTTTTCACCCGTCCCTTCTTTGTTTAACTTATGAGTAACCTACTACTGGGGACTGATTACAGGGTGCTTTTTAAACAAGGAACTAAAGTGACTTCTCTTTACAAAAGGATGAAGGACCTTTGATATGAGGAATTTGGTACCTGTTGAAATTAGTTGGCTTTGAAGTTATTAGAAGAAAACAGACAGTAATAGTCATCCTTTGTCTGTACAGAAAACAGGTATATATAAAACAGAATCACTGGAAAGATGTATCTGTTTCTTTAGCCATGTTACAGTTTGCTGTTGGCTCTTCTCTCCCCTTGTGCATTGTATCATGGACAAAACTGTTGGTAGGAATCAGTGTTTGGATTGTTTTTCTTTCATGCTTCTACAGAGAGTCAGCTGTTAATCTAGTGAGGAGTGGCTCCTATACTCGGCAGCTGTGGAAGGATGAAGCAAAGGGAAATGAAACTCCACAGACAATTACTCCTTCCACCTATGTATCAACCTACTTGAAAAGGTACCAGGCACAAGGGGTTTGGGAGATGCTTTTCATTCACTTGGCTATGGGAATATGGGTAATAATTGCATGCCTTTTTATATCCAATTAGCACCACAAAAATGAATCAACAAATAAATTGCTTTTAGATTTCTTGGGATTAACATCTTGACTAATTTAAAATTAAAATTAATTTGTTTTCTTAATATCTAAATTAAAGTAAGCTAATTCCAAATTCTTACCAAAGATCTGACTTTAGACTCTATCTTCTCAGTCCTATTGAAATCTTCAATCAGAAGTGACTTCTAGTCATCACTGGGCAAGACTGAATTTAAAACACCCTTGTCCAACAGCTGGTTTTTCTCTTTCTAAAACTAGAGTATTTTTCATCATGTTATGTTTTTGTGGGGAGGAAAGGGGGGACATGGTAGGGTGGTAAAGGGTGGGAAATGGGAACAGTTTTCTATTGCATTAAAGAAGTTTCATGTTAAAGCCTGTTAATTTAGGGACTTGAGTTTTTTTTTTTTTATGACTTTAATGGCCCTCAGATCCATCAAGATGTGAAACTCGCAAGTTTGGTGCAGAGAAGGTACATGGGTTTCCTTCTTTTTTCTCATCTCTATTCCCTTTTCTGCAATTATTTTCTTTGCCACGTATTAGCCAGCAAGCAAAGCACCTTTGCCAGAACCATTAAGCTAGCTATAAGATATACTTAATTAATTTTTTAATTTGAACTTTGCTGCTGATGTGGAAGAATCTGTTTTTCACTGCTTACTTTGAATTCTTTCTTCACTTCCACTTAACCCCTCCAACTGCCTCTTCCTGCCTTCATTAGGTTTCCTAGATGGCTGGTTGGTTACCTTAGAAACAGGCTTTGGCCATAGATCATATGGGCAGATTAGCTGTTTGAGATCAAAATTTATTTCCATTTGGCAGGAAGATTTGTCAAATAGTTAATGTCAGAACACAGGAAATAATAAGCTATAAAAAAAAACAACAACACTGCTTTAATTCTACAGATATAGCCAAAATCGAAAGGGTTCAGTTTTGTAACTGTACAGGCACAGGTCAGTGATTTCACTGATTCTTTATTGTATATACTAAGTGTTTCTGTCTATGTGAGGTTATCAGCTATTTGTATTAATGGCAAAGCCTAGATAGGTTATTATTCCTCACAGTTGAAATCAAATTCAAGAAAACTTTTCTCAGAAGATAATGCTCTAGATATAGAAAGGGGACAAAGCTGCTATTTTGTTTTCAGGCATGGAGTTATTTTGTGCCAAGGTTGCTGATTTCCTTGCTCCATATCATTAGCAAATGGGTTGAGTGGCATTTGGTTTGATAGATGTAGTCTGGCAGGTTACAGTGAACAGAAAGGAAAGTGCTGCTTCTATTTAGAGTGGAAAGTGTGCTTAATTATGAGAGTACTTTTTGAGAAAAGATGTACAACTTGCTTCACACCTTGGATTTCCAAAGCATATCTTCTGTAACCCTAAGGCACCTTTTGATTTTATAAAGTCTTCTCTTATGATCTTTTCAAGAAGAAAGAATTCTGTGCCATCACCATTTTCAACAGAAAAGAAAAACAGGAATTTCTCGTTCCCCGGCTGTGCCAGGCCTTGGTATACTTTTCTTTTCTATGACATCTCTTGTCTGTATGTAGGCAGGAATCCATTTGGATGGGACCCAACAAAAAAGCCTCTTTTCCAGAGAAGGCTGCATAGCCCTTTTTAATCACCCCCTCAAGTGTGTCATTACTATTATAGTTAGGAAGTATTTTTTTTTTTTAATTCTAACCCAAGTAACTTTTTGCTGCAATTGAGATGGTTCTTACCTATCTTCACTGGAAACCAAGAAAAGTTGCCTTTTGTTTCCCATACAACATTACTTTCTAGACTTCAAACTTCAAATCCTTCCAAAGGCATTTTAGCTTTAAATTAAATAACTGCAGTTCTCAAAGGCATTTTTTTCAGAATTTTTTTACTCCTGTCCACTTTTTTATTTTAAAATTTGAAAGCCTCTCCAAATTCCCTCATCTTACTTTGGCTTTGCAGTGCTGCTTCTATATCAGGTAGACTTTTGGGGTTGCATGACTTTTTTGACTTGGGTTTGTTGGGACTTATTGTTTCTAATAGAGTTATTCTGTTTCCTATTGTTACCCTTTCTGAGCTTCTACTCTTGTCATATATTCTACTTTCTGGCTTTTCCTTGTTAAATATCATCTCCCCTCCTTCACATTCCTTCACTCTTTTGGATGACTTACCTAAAGATCATTCTAAAAAGAGTGATGATTGCTTCACTCTTTCCGGTGATCACCTGCTTGCTGCCAGTGTCCCAGCTCCAGCTGGAGTTGAGCACGCCATTTCCCAGTTGCCATGCCCTCTCTTTGGTCTATATTCCTTTCAATTGAACAATCTGGGAATGTGGGAAGGTGGTGCTGGGAAATGGTGGGTGAGCAGCATGTCCTGAAGAAAGTGACTGTGTGCTATTTTGCAGTGCTTCATTTGGTAGAAGTAGTGACCCCACAAGTCCCTACATTTCAGCCAATCGCAATTCATCTCCTGCTACCTCACCCATTACCATTGGTTCATCTACCTCTCGGGGCAGCCAGTGGCAACCTGCCTCTTCTTGCCCTGCATCAATCAGTGCAAACACTACTGCATCTGTACACCATGGCAGGTAAGGCTTCTTGGAGCCATTTGAGTTGCATTCTTCAAAGTTAATGCTTCTGGAAACACATGAGATTTGAACTAAAGAGACTTTGTCACTGAGGTGGAAAGATGAATTCCTGTGAAAATTTCCATAACTTAATGGAGATGCTTTTGTTTTGGCTTTTCTTAGCCAGTTAACCATTGCTTATTGAATAACATAGGATATGTATCATTGTATTTGGGATTCAAGGATCAACTTAACATGATTGCTTTTATCTCTCAACAATTTTACCAGTTCTGAGTACAATTTAATGGTTATACCTATTGCAGTAAATTAAGTATTTAAAATATTCTTATATTTTAACTTTCTAGTAATTATGAGTGGAAGTTTCTTGTTGTTTTGGAAGATGGAAGATGGCATACAAACCCAGATAAGAAGGAAAGCTAGCTGATATTCCAAAAGCCTCCTTCAGCCTTCTAAAAATTCCCAGCCAATGAGAATGTTTTTCCGGGAATGCTGTGGGAAAGGAGAGATTCGGGCTTGTCTAAAATGTTTGGGGACAGTATCTCCTTGGTTTCTAGTTTATCTAAGGGATTCCATGGGCAGAGTTTCATTGTGAAAGTATGGCAGCACTTTAGCTGTGGTTTTAATTATGGTTCTTTAATCTTTTTCATGTGGTCAGAGACCTTTTTGCTTTTGAGGTATAGTTTTTGTGGGTCTTGTCCCTACGGGTGACACAAAAGAAAATGTAAAATTATTAATGAAGACATGTTGTAAGAACACCAGTTAGAGTGGTGATTATTGATACTTGTCAGTTTACTAGATTTCTTTCCTGAAAACAAGTAGTGATTATTAATTTGACCAGAAAGGATAAGATCATGTTAGGTTATTATAGTACGGTATAATTATGTAGAAATTCATTAGGTTCTCATAATAATCCAGTTATTTATAAGGAGGGACAGGCTTATGACTGATTAATAAAAATAATACTGTATAACTATGTGGAAATTTATTGGATCCCCATAATTATCCAACTATACAGATATGGTAATTATTATCATCATAGATGAAGAAGCCAAAACACAGATAGGTTACTTGATTAACTATTAAGAACTGACATTGGGGAAAAGTAAATATAGACATCATTTTTGAACCTTATTATGTGACAGGCATTGGCTCAGTTACTATACACAAATTATATTGAGATTTGCTTTACTCACATATAATAGTGCCTTAAATAAGATAAAGGTTTATATCCTTTTCGTGTAGGAAGCACAGAAATAGTCAGGGCTAACCTAATAGCTCTAAAGTCATTAAAGGATCCAGATTTTTTTCAGTGTTTCTACTCTCTAATCTTTACATCATGGCATCTATTTCTATGGATTGACTCAGTAAACAAAATAACTGCTGGGGCTCTAGCCATTATGGCTGCAATGAAGGGAGGAAGCAGGAGGAAAGAGGGAAGCAGCAGGGATGGAATGCCTCTGAACCGAAAACTTTCTCAGAACTACTAGTTTTCTGTTTATATCTCCTTGGATATCTCCAGTTTATAGGGAGGCTTTAATAGGTACATTGGTAGATATAGATGTTTAATAGGTACATTGCTGTCCTCAATGATATAGGGGTACTGTTAGAAATGAACAATGGATATGGCTTAGTCAACTAGCCATCTTAAGTACACATATTATTTACAGTTTCATAAAGAGCTCCCCAGTATATGTGCTATTTGCCAAATTATATTGTTTTGTAGTGTGCATGTATGAATATGTAACAATACCTCCTACCATTATATACAATTAAAATAATGCACCAATAAAAAACATGGAAAAAAAGAGCTTCACGGTTGATTAAGTTATAGATGAGGAAACGGAGACCAAAAGCTTAGTCATCTGCCCATCATCACACAGCTAGTGAGGACCTGAGCAGGATTTGAATGCAGATTTGTCCATTTCAAAGCTCTTATCCATTTTGTCGCTGTTTTGTTTCCAGTGAATTTATATTTTATCCCAGGTACTATTTTAGGAGTTCTGTAGCATTGTTTAGTTATCACAAGAATCCTGCATGTAAAGATATCATTATTCCTATTTTATAGATGAAGAAGAGATCAGACAGTAAATTACCTTAAACCCAAAGCCTAAATTTATCCTACTCCATTGTACCAACTTTGTTTCCTGCTCTAGAGCTTTTCCTAGTCTCTTATCTACTTGTGAAATTATATCACATTTCAAAATAATAGTAAAAATCCTGTTGTATGATTTAATAAAATTACATCTCTGATATTTCAACAGCTTAAGAAATGCAGAGAACAAAATATGTTATTAACCTAAAAAACAAAACAAAACAAAAAAAAACCTTACCTAATGGGTTTTTATTGTTGTTTGTTTGTTTGTGTTTTGAAACGGGATCTCACTGTGTTGCCCAGACTGGCCTTGACCTCCTGAACTATAGATAGCTAGTCTCCCAAATAGCTAGGACTATAGATGTGTGCTGCCATGCCTATAATTTTTCATAAATGTGTTTTTAATTTTATTAGTACTCCCTATAGATTAATAAGTTTGGAGAATTATTTACCTTTAATTTTTCAAATTAGAAAATGAATAAAAAATTACGCTTCTGGAAAAGTAGCTTATATTTTTCAGATACCACTTCCATCTTTAAAAGTATTCTATTTTTACATTTGTATCTAAGTACCATAATAGATTCTTATCCAATTATTTCTTTTAAGCTTATTCTAATAATTGATTATTTGGAAGTGAACTTATAGCTACTTATAAACATTTCTGGTAATAATTGTGAGTGGGTGAAAAACAGATTTTTAACATTCATGCTTTTCATTGCTTTTGCCATCTCTGTATCAATTTTGGATCTCTGTTACCCCAGCAACAAGCTGTGACATCACAAATGATAGCTTTTTGGGTGGAGAGCCAATGGTTGCTCCTAACTCTTTGTTAAGAAACAAAGATCTTGTTTTCACATAAATGAGTTTAATTATACAGCTTGCTGTTGAAAAGTCTGTAGCTAAGGTTACATACAGAATTCCTATTCGGTTTTTGTTTTAATTTCTCCCTTGTGCAGTTACGAATACAGACAATTAGGCATTTTGTTAAATGAAAAGAGACTGCAGTTGCTGAACTAGGTGAGGGAGAACTAAACATACTGAGGTTGTAGAGTATTTCTCAAATGGATAATTCAAGAAGATGGTCATCAAATCTAGACTGAGGACTACCACAAAGACTCCTACTGCCAAGAATTGAGGGACAGGTGGAAACTAATATCGTAAGTGACTTTAGTGTCTTTCTCCTGTGTAGCAAGACACTGTCTCTGTGTGCATGTGTGGAGGGAGGCCAGATGGTAATGAGGAGTCATTTAAAGCACTCTTGCATATGTCACTATCTTGCTTGGTACTATATAGCTAATTTTTGTTTTTGTTTTTTGATTTCAGACAAAAAAAATAATAATAATAAAATTAAGTGTGAGTCCTCAGGCAGAGGACGTCCCAACTAAACATATAATTACACTGTTCTAAGATTTAAGAGCTCAGAATTAACAAATCAACAAACAAAATCTGAGTAAGAAGATTCTGTAGTTAGCCCTCTCTAACCTTCCTGTCTCTGAGCCAGTGCTTTACGGTATTGCAAGCTGACCATTCTCCTGCTCATGTCTCTCTTGATTTCAGGACTCCTTACAAATCCCAGGCTGACTCTACAACAGAGAAGACAGCAGAGAGTGTCTCTTGTAGCACCCCGCTCTGTGTGATCACCAATCGTCCTCCACCTAGCACTGCCAATGGGGTCACAGCTGCCACTGTGCTCTCCTCTACTGGAACAGACTCCTCTGTGGAAGCCAGGGAGAAGAGGAGGTATGTTAGGTTACTCTTTGCTTTGCGGGGGCTCTGTTTTGAATTAGGAGATAAAGCAGTAGGTATGAAGTCTTTTCCCCAATTACAAATAAATTTTTGGAAATAGATCTTAATTTTGGGTTTTGTCTTTTGACTCGGAGGTTTTGGTGGTGATCTTAATTATTTTTTATTATTTAACATAAACATTCTATTATGGGTATAGTTAATTTTTTTTTCTATTTGTCATGTGAGACGTAGTTGTCAGGCATTATTTCTATATTTTGTGATGGGAAACCTGAAGAGTAGTGAAATATCTTTTGTTCTGGGTTATTCATAATGACTTCTCTGTCAGGGAAGACAAGTAATAGTGTGAGAAAACTCTTGAAGAATAGAGGTAGGATATGTATTTCTAATGAATTTGAGAATAATACCACAAAAGGAACTGAGCAGTATATGATGATATGGTAGAAGGATAATCATTGGCTAGTCTGCATTTTCTTTAGAAAGAAATTATGAAAGAGCAGTTGTATATTCTCAAGGTAGAAGCTAAAAAGAACTTCTTAATTGTTAGGATTATGAATCTTAGGGACCAAGGGAGAAGTATAAAGCATAGAATAAAAGAAAATAAAAATTTTTTTTAAAGAAAGGTGAAAATTTCTCTATTTGGAAATTTCAGAACTACTTAAAAATTAGAAAAGAGTGAAATCTTATCAAAATTTAGATTTCAGTTTGACTTAATATTATTTTAAATTTCAAAGACAGGAGATTTTATAACTGACTGTGTATGTACATGTAAAAAAAAGTCCAAAAATCTTATCATCTAGCTGGATAAAGTGGAAAATCTTTAAGATACAAAAAGAAACCAGGCACTGTAGCACATGTCTATAATCCTAGTGACTTGGGAGGCAGAGGCAGAAGGATCTAAAGTTTGAAGCCAGTCTCAGCAACTTTTAAGGCCCTAAGCAAATTAGGGAGACCCTGTCTCAAAATAAAAAATTAAAAGTGTTGGGGATGTAGCTCAGTGGTAAAATACCTCTGGGTTTATTCAATCCCCAGGACCAAAAAAAAAAAAAAAAGCATCTATGGGACATAATAAGAATTGAACTTTTTAATCATTTTAAAACCAGTTTTAAAATACACTTTGAGAAGTAAAGGGAGAAAGATGTTAAATGAGTTAGAAAATAGTATTTTTTTTAACATGAAAATTGAAGAAAACTAGTTATCTGGGCTAATAAGTTTTAGAGTGAAGAATTGTCCTCCTTTGCTTGACTGCTAGCCAAAGAATATGAATAAGTCCCTCAAATATTTAATGCATACATATTTACTAGCTCAGATGTAATGCAGGTATTATTAGTTTCATCTAAAAACTAAATGCAAAAGTAATCTTTTCATTAGCTGAAAAAAACCACCTTTCTTTAAAAAAATTTGGGCTGAGAAATTTAAAAAATTAAATTCCTTGTTAAGATCATGATCCCTAAAAAGAAGGGGAAATTGGGTCTTTTATCACACTATTTTTTTAAGGATCTAGTTAAATGAACTATTGTTTTAGAGAAACTTAGATGGTTACTGCCTTCTAGGAATTTTATAACCTATAATAAATAAGAGCACTTGCTATAGATTTTTTATTTTCTTTTAGAAGTTTTATCCACAGATATCTATTGAGTATAAGCTTTGTGCCACACAGGATTACCAGGTATATTTCCTCAAGAAGCAGTAGCTATATGAATAAAATTATTAAGTCAGGCTATTAGTGATTTATAAGATAAATATGGTGTATCTAATAGAGGCCATGATAAGAACATTTTAGGAATGGCACAATAGATAAATAGGGAGACATTAAATAAAGAGGCACTTCATATATACTAGTACTTATTCTTTTCAAAATATTCATTGAATATCTGCCAGTTTCCAGGAACAAATATGATCTGAGCCCTTGGAAAATATGCTAGAGACAAAGACAAAGAAATGTTAAACAACGATTAAACTTATATAGTACATAGAGGCTAAGCATCCCTAATCTGAAAATCCCAAATTTGAAATACTGCAAATTTAAAATGTTTTGCGTGCTGACATGACATGACAAATGGAAAACTCCTCACTATGAAACTTTGTTTCATGCACAAAATTATTTTATACATTGCATAAAATTACCTTCAGGATGCATTTATAAAGGTCCATATGAAATTCAGCTTAATTATAATCTCCTCCATCAAAAAACTTTCAGTAAAATTATGAGAAGTACAGTTCCTTAATCCAAAAATCTAATCTGAAATGCTCCAGTGTCTAAAACTTTTAGAGGACCAACAAGATGCCACAAGTAAAAAATTCCATACCTAACCTCATCTGACAGGTTGCAGTCAAAATACAAGTGCACTAAAAAATATTGCATAAAATTTCCTTCATGCTATGTGGAAAGATGTATATGAAACAATAATTTTACATTTAGACTTGAGTTCCATCTCTCAGATATCTCATGTATATGCAAATATTCTAAATTAACTTTTCAAAACTCAGTCACACTGGTCCTGTGCCTTTTGGATAAAGGATCCTCAACCTGTTTCATAAAAGAGGTAATATGAGTAGTTATAACAGTGTATGACAGAAGATTTAGAAGACTTTCCTTCTCCTGGAGGATCAAAGAAGAAGGCTTTCATAGGGTGTGATGCTCAAACCAAGATTTTCAGGATAGGTAACAGCTAGGTGCAGTTTTCAGACACTAAGATGGGAAGGCATTTTGATCCTTTGGAGAAAATGAAGGATGGCATTGTGAGTCAATGCAGAGTGAGGGAAATGGTAGACTAAGATGAAGTTTAAGGAGTAGGTAGGAGCTATATAATGCCAGATTTTACAGCCAAAGGTAAGGATTCTAGATTTATATGCTAATAAGCATGATAATCCATTTGAAGAATTTTTGAAACAGCCAGTCACAAAGTATCAAGGTTACAAGGCCAAAGAAAACCTCTCTCCTGCCCTTGAGGATCTTTAATCTATCTGTTGTAGGAAGGCATATAAGCAAATCAACTATTACAGTACAGATTTTAAGCACCTTGATAAAAGTATGAATAGATTGCTATAGGACTGAGGCAGAGGGAAATCTGATTTAGACTGAGTGGGGTGGCTGGAAAGCCTTACCAAAAAAGGTGACTGGAGTTGAACTTTAAAATAAAAACAGGTAGAAATTAACTAAAAGTACTAATAAGAGGATGGTATTTTGCAGAAAACCCAAGAATTTCAAGAAACAATAAGTTCACTATGTCTGAAGCTAGAGGACAGGAAGGCTAGTGTAACATTTTTAAAAGTGTCTTTTATGAAATAGATTTAGATGAAGGGGGAAAAGAAAGGCATTGAGTGGCCAAATTAATTTGGTAAGCAATGGGTAAAACAAAGTTAAACCGGATCACTCTGAAGCCTTCTCAGGGTCATTCCTCTGTAGGAGGTGGGGGGGGGGTATAGAGTAGAGTTTAGGAATAGTTAGAATTTGCAGCATAGTCTGAATTTTTTACATGTAGAATAGGTTCTTTTCCTTCAAAGGAATATAAGATTGGTATTCTACTGCACATTCTTTGGAAATTATGGAGAAATGTAGTCAGGAACCAAATCATGTAGATTTTTGTCTGTGCAATGCTAAGAAACTTGATCATCTTCTATTCTCAGAGCTATGGAATATCCCTGAAGAATTTTCAGCAGGAGAATGACTTGATCAAATAAAACACACCATTTAGCCTTTACAGAATTAAAGCCACTTAGTTTCTCCATCTAGACATGCTTAAGCTGAAAGAAAATAAAATGAGATGTTTTGAAAACAGTTAAATTTTCCTTCTGAAAGAACATGCTGTGTGCTAATTCTTCTCTTTGAAGCTGCAGCTTTCTCTGTAATCAGCTCATTGTGGAAATATCTTGACTCCTGCTGAGAAACCATGATGAAGGCCTGAAGCCTGTGTTCACAGGTCCAATTTGAAACAATTAGTGAGCATTGGGATAAATGGGGCTTTGAAACTGGCCACAGCAAGACATAACTAGTGGAAAGTCATCTCTCAGAAATAATCTCCATTTTCCACTGTGATTAGAGCACTTGGACCTGGAGAATGGGTCTTACCATTAAATTTCACAGCTGGCTCTCCTTTGCAGAGAAGGTTTTGTTCCAAGAGGGGATAAGTGAGTATGTGTATGCAGTTGGTCAAAAATCAGTCTCAACTTTACACCCTCTGGTAACAGATCTTTATTCAGTTTGTTAACTACAGATATATTATTATATGAACAAAGCTAGTTACTAAAGGATACATTATGATATTAGATAGTAGTAAATATGGAATGGTGAACACTGGGTTTTTTTGCGGGGGGGGGGGTTCTGGATGGTTTTTAATTTTCTTTTTCTATAATGTCCTGTTTTGCACGATTCCAGTAAATCACCAAGTCGATCTTAAAACAGGAGACGGAACATTTTATTCACCAGCTGGAGGACCAAGGGCTAGCTGCAAGTCTACACCCTTTGACCCCCTCCAGGAGTTAGAGTACACTTTTTAAAGAATGTCAGTACATTAATCATAAGTGTCTGTTGCTATGATTCAAAACTGTAAACAAAAATCATGAGATCTAAATTCATAAGCAGAAGGGGAAGCGGGTCAAAATGACCCTAGGTTGAGTACAAGTTAAGGAATGGTTTCTAATGTTTAGACAAACATTAACATTCTATGTGGTTAGGGTACATTGCACAAGTACAGTGTGTAAGAATAGAAGGAACAATTTGTTTTTCATTGCCAATATGCTATGCTAAGCAATTGTCAAGTAGGTACACAGGTGGGGTCTTCCCATGGGAGAATGATTTCTTACATGACATGGAGTCTCAAGGTAAAATGGAGTCTGTTTGGTCATTGTCCATATAGCCTGACCCAACAGTCCAAAGTTCCAGAGTGATAAAGTATTACTCTTAAAATGGAGCAGAAGGAGAAAGAGGACTTGACTAAAATTAACTCTAGGGACCAAAGTTTCTCCTACAATATAAGTCTGTGGAGATGGCTATG